GAACTTGCTTTGCACACAGAGTGGACCGTGGGCATTACAGTGACAGTATCACAGCATCTGAAATCTGTGTGATCATAAATTCACACAAATGCTAACAAAATGCAACAAATGATGAGACTGTAACAAATTAGAAACTAATGTGATGATTTTACATTAAAGATACACGGACCTTAACCTGCTTTTTGTAAGCCTCTGAGCAAGCATCCCGTGTACTGTAAGAACTCAAATGTGCCTATTTTAATTGTGCTCAAACTTTTCTATGTCTTGACATTTCTAAAAGTGATTTTACTTATTTTGATGTCCACATCCCAAACGTTGCAGTAAGACTGTATGCATTGTATCATTTTACATGTTGCATTAATTTGTTATATCACTAAACAGATCACATTTCATATGCTTTTCTTTGTTCTATTAAAGTCTTGTGAATTAAATTTTATGCTGCTCTGTCATGTTTGCACTGAGAATTTAAGTATTTCTTTTTCTGGTTCAAGTTTAATTTCATGGGGCTGTGAGGTTGTTTGAGGTCAGACCATATTTACTCTAAAGGCTCATGCTGCCCCCTGTTGATCAATCGAAGAACTGCATACAGCAGTAAATAATTTTATCTGATGACGTGTCCTAAGTGGGTGCAACATTTAGAGTAAGGAGCTACGTTAGAGATTGCTGTCTAACATATTTTATCACTTTGATAAAATTGGAAAAAGCAAATAATTACAGACCAAATAAGAATAAAATCACCACTGTACTTATTTCCCTTTCTTTGTGTTTTGATAGTTGTGTGTCCTTTAAATTTCTTTAATGTTTCTTGTTTGTCTTTGTCTTTCCCATTACTGGTCTGTGTTTTTCATTTCTGTTGCATTTTTAACCCCTCAAAAACAAGACCATCATCATCTCAGTGGGTTGTTATAGTAATGAATAAACTTTAATTAGTCTGACGTTTCAGCAAATCTGATTTACGTGTATGGGAAAATTAAATGAAACTGAAATTGTGTAATTAACATTTAAACCCTGACTATGCTGCAAGCAAACCTAATGTGCATGACAGTGATTCCTTTCTGTTACTGAAGAATGGATTCTTTCCAAATGAACCTCCATCAATATCAATGGTGGAAAGTTCTTAATATTTCCCATTTAATCCTATTGTGTACTTACAATTGTCAACTAAACATAAAGGAGATATATTGTGATTGTTTACTCTCTATATTACTTTATGATAATAGATTAGCTTAGATAACACACACACACCAGTTAAAAATATATACTAGTATACTAGCTAGTTTTATGTCATACTTTTATTTTTGTTCAAATATATATTGCTGACAATAACTACTTATTTGCAATGCAGATCTTTATTTAGCTCTGAATTTTTGTACTTTTACTTCATCTGACTGCTTCTGCCATCACTGTTCATTTGAGTCAATCAATATCAAACCTGCACGTCTTGATGCATGTTCAATCATCCAGACAAGTAAATCTCCAAAAGTTGATTCTGTTCATCTGAACGTAGCATTTTCAGTGGGAGAAATGTTTTGTCACTCATCCAAGAGACTTCTTCAGTCTCAGCTGACTGCAGGTTTCCCCAATCTTGTAAACAGTACATTGCATAATGACTGAAACCAGCCCAGTGAAGGATTTATACATCGGGGAAACCAAACAACCTCTGGCGAAGCGGATGGCACAACACAAAAGAGCTACCTTGTCAGGCCAGGACTCTGCAGTCTATTTACACCTACAGGCCAGTGGACACTTTCAATGATGAGGATGTAACATCCTGGACAGGGAGGAATGCTGGTTTGAGCGCGGAGTCAAGGAGGCCATTTATGTGAAAAGGGAAAGACCATCTCTGAATCGAGGAGGGGGCCCAAGGTTACATCTTTCGCCATCTTGCAATAATGTGATTGCAGCCATTCCCCAACTCTCTGTGAATGGTACTCATGGCCATTGATCAGTGGGCTTTGGTCAGTGGTTATTGATCAATGGTCATGAGAATTTGCATAATTAAGATTAAGGAACTGACCTCCCAGCCCATTGTTCCTTCAGTGGGCTGGTTTCAGTCAATATGTAATTTACTGTTTATAAGATTGGGTAAACCTGCAGTCAGCTGAGACTGAAGAAGTCACTTGGATGAGTGACGAAATGTTTCTCCCACTGAAAACGTCCAGATGAACAGAATCAACATTTGGAGATCAAACCTGCACAGTTTATGCACTAAATTCACCTTCAATATGAATAGCCCTCACAGCACATCAAAAGAATACACAATATTTATAGTAATATTAAAACATCACAGGCAGACATTTGCTGAATTAAATAATGTTTATTAATACAAACATTTTTACAATAGTTTTATACAGATAACAGTGAGTCAAAGTGCAAAAGAAAGCTTTTCTTCAGCTGTCAGTCATATTTTAGATCTTCTTTATAGTAAAAATGCTGATAGAGTGCATTTTATTACAGTGCAAAACATTTGACCTGGTTTTCTTTTCTTTCAAATCCAGTCAAAAATTGTGATATGTTGAATTAAGGTCAATGTGCTGCATCTTATCAGTTCTTAGAAAGCAAACAAGGTCACTGTGGCTTGCAGCCACTAGAAAAACACATGCTGTGACATGCAGTGTCTGGGCCTGAGAGTAGAAAGTGCTTCAAAAAAAAAGCATTTTAAACAAGTTTTAAATTTTGATTTTGAACTGAGAACAGAATAACTGTCAGTCTCAAACTTAGATACATCCGTATCTATCTATAGATATGTATATATATTCATATATATATATATATATATACATTAATATATCTTTTGAAATTCATACAGTCACATCACATTTCTGGGAAAAAGAGACAACAATAATGCCTGAGAACAAAAGAGTAGGTGACAACATGACTATGAGCACTGTGGTAAAATATCACCGTAATCAAGTTTATGTGCAAACAAATTAATGTATGTATTTACCACTTTTATATTCTTTTTCTGTTCAATGAGAATATGTTTTGTAATGAGGGTTGGGATAAATGTTCATTAGATTTCAAGCAGTGTTGAAGTATCATGAACTCATTCTTCTCCAAATAAATTTCAAGTTTGAGTTTTTAGGGATGAGTGAAGATAACTGTTACTTTTTTTCTTGGTCATTTCTTTTCTTTCTGAGCCTAAAAGAAAAAAGGAAAAAAAGAAAAATGAAAGAAATCTTTATTTCGTTTCAAACAACTGTCCCACTAACCTTAGTTTGGAATAACAAAAGGAAAAGAGACTAACATACGGTAAAAGTTTCAGATAATGGCCCCATTATATATATAAGTAATCTCTGAACCAAATGCTCAGGCTTCAGACTGCCTTAAACACTCAGTTTGAAACAGTTTTTTTTCTACTCCTTTCTACGTTTCTACTTCTGATGTAAAATAGACTGGATATCCCTAATATCCATACACAGTATCCATAATCACATACTGTGTATGCTACCGTTGTATAGAGTGTAATATCTTACTTCTTTTATATTTGTTTGTAATTTATTTGTATTTTTTGTATTTTCCTACTGATATCTGTACCTGAGATGAGGTATTATCTCAATATGGTCTTCTCAGTCATTCAGCTGCAGTTATAAATACAGAAGCCCCACCCACCTGTGGTTCCAACTTTTTGCTTGAGAGGGGCAACCAATCAAAAGAAAACTTGTTCAAAGGAGGCAATGTTAAAATAGCTAGTTTCAGACGATGGATAAACTGAGGGACTGCAACAAGGCCCAACATAAGACAAACAAAGACTTTTTTTTTTTTAACTGTAAATCATGCAATTCTGATGCAAATATAAAAATAATGAGTTGAAAATCACCATAATAGTTCATTTACATTTTGTAACCAAAGAAACAAAGCAATTACTGCTATTGAAATGAAATTCATTAAAGGTTTGTGGGCGCTGAACAAGACAAGTCATGATAATAATGAATTGTCTTGAACTAGTTTTCAGAAAAGCTCAAGCGCTAGATTTTGTGAGTCTAATGTTTCAGTTAAATACATAATTTCCAGTTTACCTGCTGTTTGTTGGTTCATAGTAGCTGTTCTCATTCAGCAGTTCCTCAATGATCGCCTGAAAACATTCGAACAAAACATTGTGTCAGAGGCCGCAGACAGAAGTTCAGTATCATGATGAAGTTGAAATTAAAACACTGTTCCAAAATGAGACCCATCTGTGGGAGAGTCGACACCTGCAGTTGTAAAGTAATACAGATCCATAAAATTGAATTTTAATGAAATAATAGTTGGCACTATGCCATCAGCAAACTATTTATTCTCTGAATAAATTTGTTGTTCACCAACCAGCCTACAGTGGCACTATGCCTCTGCAGGAGGACCCACACGACATTTATACAAACAATAGTTTAATAGTTTTTCAATGCAGTTTTACATAGACTTATATGCCAAATATGACTTTTATTTTTAGCTAGCAAAAATTGTTCCTATTAGAAAGATTCCTGAGTTTCTCACCACCAACCTGCATCTGGTGATATGTAACTCCATCTCTGAGATTCACATCAACTGTCAACACAAAGAAGAGACAAAGTACTTATTTTTATTTATTTATTTTACATCAGAATTAACTTGCAATTCTACTTCTGCATAAGATGCTCTGCTTGTCTTTTACTGGAAATTTATGGTGAAGTTGGGCATTGATGGCACTACCTGTGCTGTCAGCGGTATGGATGTCTCCCGTGAAGTGGTGGACCCAAGGCCACCAATCTGAACTGATTAAACCAAATGCCATCAGCTCTGGAGACGCCTGGACGAGCTGAGAGCCAAGTTGAGGAGACACAAACACTGTTAAGTTCTGCCTGATTTTATGAAGTGATTCTTACAAGACATTTGTAAGGTACACCAGCACAGAGCAAGACTTCCTGTAAACTGACTACTGGAACAAAGTAGACTCAACTGTATGCAATAAAAAAAGATTTTTAA